CTGTAGAAATGTTAAGTACTACTCAGTTATTTCAGAATTGCGGCTACTGTAGCATCCTGATATTGGTTAGACAAAAACTGGCATACGTTTTGGTAGTTGACGCGTTTTTCCTACAATGAATGGGAGTTGGTTTTCGAGGACGACTGTCGACTGGATTGTTTAACGGTGGACTTGTCGATTCTGTAGTTCACGTCTATACCACCAGACATCTATTTTTCATTCCCTTTGTAGATATCTCATGTACATTCTACATTTTCTATAGTGGTAATCCTGTCCTACAAGTAATGTCAGGGATGATACTGGTGACAAGCATGCATCTACAACTATGATGCACAAAATGAACATTGCGCTTGTGTGTGTGAGAGAAACTAAAAAGCACGTAAAAAATATCTCTCTTCCTGTTTTGGACGTTTTGTAGCAAGAATTTTAATTTTATGTTAGCAAAATTATCAAAAAACATTAAATATACACTCCATATATTTATATTTTTCTACAAAAGCTCTATAATTTGTTTTCTTAATGTTAACGGAGCAACAATGCGTGTATCCCCCACGCATGTCTACATTCGTTGAAGTCTAATCAACGACTGAGACCACCGCAAACGTACTGTTTTGTTCATCTAAGATCTACAACATTTTTTTTTTGTTATTGTACGGTTAAGATCTTCGTCCTCTCGTGAATGAGGTCCTTGGTGCTTCATACTACGGGCCCAGAAGTTTCACGTGTCTCTCATACTATTGCCAAGTTTCAGGTATTGTTGTCACTTTTCCGCTATTCTCACCTTGCTACCCTGTTGTTTTAAGGAGTTAATTCCCTGACTCTTGAGACTTCACGGCATGTGCCAAGGAGTTCGTCATGCCTATTAGCTGGTCCCTTGCCATTGCTGGAAAACTTTATCTTATTTCGGGAATTCGGAGTGAAAATATATAGCGGTCATCTACAGCAGCGGAGATATTGCTGGCAATTATCCCAGCTATCTGGCTACCACGCTTAAAACAGAAGATGTCGATGACATTTTTATAACCGAAGTTTTTCGAATGTGTCAATGTCACGTCATCAACTATCACAGCCGCTCTATCATTTCCCGTTCACTCTACCGTCGTCTTCAAAAATGAGTCTGATTGTTGGCTCCAAGCTTTTAAAACCCCGCCAACTTTGCTGTATTATTTTGTCTTACTTAGCAGACGAATTCATATGGGGACAACAGGGGTGTTTATCCCGGAAAAGCCCTTTTCACCAACCCTAGGATCCAAGAGAGTGGGCAGCTCCCTGAAACGATGATTGTTTAAGCATTAAAATACTTCTTGTGGTGGGCACACCTTTTACTACAAAAAATTTTTGAGTCACTATATCGCGACGTTAATAAATTGACTTTCCATTAACGAGAACTCAAAAAAAACATCCATCGCTCAAATACCAAATCTTTAAAGTCCCAGGGAATTTTACGTTCACTTCTTTTATAGCACCAGTCATTTTACAGTACCGGTAAATCCTATCAGTAATGTAATATGAAAAACTGAGCAATTTTCCAAATCAGTGACTAGTAAACTCTCTTAACCCTTGTCATTCATGTGCTGCCACAGAATATGAGTTGTAGTTGACCTACTGACAGAGACAATAAAGGCGAGTTTGTCTAAACCATGTAAAATAATAGGTTGTCAGAACATTACATTTACACTGGTGATATCTGCATAACTATGGTAATGATTTGTAAATCTATGGGTATTTTTCTTCACCACGCACAATCGGAACCATCAATTCATTCTTCAGAATTCCCCTAAAGAATCGACTTTTGGGGAAATTTCAATTTTTATGATACTAGGTGGTTATTACCTTCCAAACTGGAAGTAATGGCGGTGGTATGAACACGTCCCCACTTCGTCTGTTCAGCGCACAAACAGCATTATATTCCTTCAACTTACATTACCACAATCTCACTGACTTTTTTACTACCGGGCCGTTAAACACCACAATCTGACCTCATACAAGCTGCATACAAGCTATCTATCCAAGGGTTGACCTTTTCGGTCCCTAACCATAATGAAAGTACCAGATGTAATCCTAGATTCCTTAAATCCGAACCAATCTCAAAAATATTCCATTTATGGTTCGCCAAACTTAAGCTCAGGCGAGATAGGCCTTTACTGGACAGAGCGATTAAATGGGAAAACAAAACTCAAACGTCCACTGTGTGTTCAGTACGTCCGCAAAACAACACTTGTCTTGTGTCTTAGACGATAATATTTCTACCACCTGAAAAGTTTTCAATCCCACTGACATTTGGTGTTACTACAAAAGACAAGTAGGGAGGGAATGACGAGAGCCGTTTCCTTGATAGATTTTACTAAATGTCGCTCCATAGCTCTTTTGCAATTTCACAAATTATTACGGAATGTAAATAAAAATTGCTGGAGAGAGCAATGTTGACAGTTAAGTTGCCGAGAACTTGTAAATTTTTAAAATTTTCTCAATAAAAGTTTGAAAGATTGTTCAGCTGATTCAGTATTCTGTAACCGATATTGAAATCTTTAAAAGTTTTGGGGAATATATAATTTATTTTAATTGTTTTTCAGATAATAAGACATTGTATTATGAGACTTCAACTGTCTACAATTGAATTCGAGAGTTAATAGTAGTACTGTAATCCTCTAGACTTCAAGTAATTATTGTATTTATGTAAAAATTTGAGCTTAGCATGTCGTTTGTACTAAACATTTTAAAGGACTTTTACCCTTCATTTTTTCATAAAATTCCGATGTAACAAAGACTGAAAATTACAAACAATAGTTCATATTGTTCTGGAAGTATTGCAGCTACTTCCAATGAAGACAGACCGCCATGAATTAATATAGAGTCGACCAAAATTAGACCAGGAAATAATCTATATGCATGGGAGAAAGAGAATACTTATGGAGTGTATGCATAAATTGTTTATCCATTCAAATCCCACTTTTTCTCTTAGCCTAGTTTAGCCGAAAACTTTGTACACTCTCTCTCTCATATTTGAATACATATGACATATGATTCGAATTGATTAAACAAACCAAATGAGTTGCCGAGTAATTTACAAGTGTGAACTTTGTGCTGTAGGTATACCTAGAAGCTTGTTATATATAATTCACATAATCTCCATGGATTTGTAGAGATATTAGACAACAATTTTATTAATTAGCTTCAAGTTCTTAGCACAGAAAGTCACTGCTGTTAATATTAAAGTGTTTTCTTCCAATAAAAGTAGCCCTTGTACAAAGAATACCGCCTTGTTATACCATGTTCTCATTGGAATTTGTACTCAAAATTACGTAGATACGTTCATATGACATGACTGTTTGGTCATAGATGTTTTCATTGCTAATTTTTTGTTTCTTAATTTTTATGGCATTTCAAGGAAAATATATTCGAGGGGTTGAAAAAGTGTACCTCAGATAAAAGAGAGAACAAAATTTCCTTTTTTTTTGATTTTTTGTTTTTTTTTTCATTTTTTCTTGAAAAAGTTTAGAATTCAATTATAGTTCTGAGAGCGACTTGAATTAACCAAAGTACAAAATGGTCGAATAACGAATAGATTGCAAATCTCGGACCTTGTGAACTTGGTATTATACACCCTCGTATGTCATGCATTCTCTGGATTCTGAATAACCAGTTCATACATTTTTTCGATTAATTCTAGAAAAATTTTGTATTCTTCCCATCACCCACTTAGCCAAAAATGCCTTTCAAAAAGATTTTCAACCGACAAAAATATTAGGTTTTTAGGAAAAAGTCCTTAAAAATATTTAAAAATTTTTCATTTTGGAGGGAGTTACATCAAAGACAGAAGTATAAAGATGGGACAAGACAGAGTCAAAATATTGTCACCAGGGGTATTTGCCTCTGTTGTTACGTTGTAACAACATTATCACCACGTTGTAACAACATTATTCAATAGCAAATGCAATTTTCAATTAATTGAAAACGTCAATGGAATGCAGTTTTGAGTCCAAATTTTGGTTTACAGAAAATGTTATTCGTAAAATTGCTCTGTAAATATGATTTTTATGCTAACATGTCACTGTTGTGAGCTATAGGGGCATATTTTAGGGGCATATTTTAGGTCTTTGGTTACGTCGTGCCTTCAAGACTACATTGTCAATATTCCTCCTTCACAGTGGAGCCCATATCTTTTGCCGTCTAATAGCGTCAAAGATTTCTCCAAACTTAACAATTCTTCAGCATCGAAATATGAACTGCAGTTACAATGCATCTGAGAGAGTAATACAGTATTTTGGATCTACCTGCATCATTCTTAGCTGCAATTTGGATTTTGCTGGTCAAACTATATTTTTTGGAAAACTTTTTCTGCGCATTTTATAATTGGGTTATTGTAACAGTTGCACAAAATAGCGCTTTATTCTAATTTTTATGAAATTTGCTTTAGCTGCAACAGAAGTTTTGAACGACAATTTGTTTTAGCGAATTCTCTATAGAAACTAAACTCCACCTCTCTATATGGTATTCGCAAGTGGCGAGCAAAGTTCAATATCTTTATAATATAACAAATCTCTTTTAAGTTAAAAGCGCTCACTTTCGCTCTTTGCATTGAAGACCAATGGTTTACATACATTAAGCGAGTTGTATTAATGCAATTTGGATATAACTGCATTAGATTTTATAAAATTAAAAAAATGTAGAATAATTTCAAAATTATTATAGTTAAAAATATAGGCAAAAGTTGGCTTGAAAATCTTTCACTTTTGCAATTCGGAATATTTATTTTACAATACTTTGTCCTGTGATGACTTTTCTTAGTCTTGGGATTTTTTTTCCATTACTAATTATGTTGATTTTGGAATTTTATATTATTAATTTATTCGTTTTGTTTTTTTTTAATACAGGGATTTGTTTTTGTTTTGTTGTTGTTCTTTTATTTTTACACTAATACACACAATTACTACATTTAATATAATCGTAGAATTTTTAGTTTTTCTTTTTGTAATTTAATTCTATTCTTTTGGGGTTACTTTTCTTTCCTTCGTATAATTATGCAATTTATATATAATGTAATTTATAAGTTATTTTATAAATTATAAATTATTTCGTTTGTAATTTTCCTCATTTTTGTTTTTGTTTTTATTATTATTATTACTATTTTCTTTTCTCTTTTTTTTTAATGTGGGTTTGCTCTATTATGTAAATTATTAGTATCAATACAACCATCACACCCTGTATGCCAAACCAAAATGATCAAACTTAAAAATAAATAAATAACTTAAAATTAAAAAAAATATGTGTATGTGTGTGTTTTCTTATTTTTGTTGTATAATAAATAAATATTTCTATGTTGTATTTTTTATTGTTTTTAAAAAAATTCAATATATATGATAAATGTGTGTGTGTGTGTTTGTGAGAGTAATGCTTTTAAAGCTTTAATATCTCTCCCGTTTTTTTCACTATTTGAACTCTTTCTCTAATAATTTCAGTGTTTCATCTACTTTGCAATGAGCTTTTAGCTAACTCTCCTAGCCAGAGATCCATTGAAATCAAATGAAACTCTTTTGAGAGCCATCTCTCTTTCATTTGCTATGCATAACAAAAATGCCTCACTCCTTTCCCATTTCATGCACATTCAATCTCATTTTCTCTCGTTGTGTGTGATTTTTATGCTCTCTCTCTGTCTTGGAAAAAAAACAACCTCCCAGAAATCAGCTGTGTTTCACTTAACAGCTGATCTCTGAATGTTTGTCCTTATAACGTTCCGCATAACCCTGTATGGTAAAGGGTGGGGCATTTGTGTTACCATTTGTGGCCAAATTGCCATTCATTTTCGTGAGGCCATTGCTGCCGTTGTGCAGCAGGCTTCCATTTAGCTTCTCGGAGGGAGTATCGCTGCAATTACCCTTCAGATTGTTCACGGATGAGGACATCATTTGGATATTGGCATACGACGAGTGTTTGTTATTTAGATTAGTATTTGTTGTTGCTGCTTGCGCTGATGCTGCTACTGCCGCGGCATTTGGAACTGTTACGTTTGTGTTCAGACTCTTTGTTAAAGCGGCCGGATCTAGAGTTATACCATCCAGCTGTGATGAAAATGACAATGGCGGTTGTATTGTGGTTGGTGTTGGCTGTGGCGTATCTAAGCTGATGAGTTTCGTCTCCTCATCCTCGTGGGCCGGCGTTGCTGAAGAAGATTGTATTGTCCTTAGGCCATTCGAGACGGGCGATCGCTGACTACTGCTGCTGTAACCGCTCGTATTGCCCGGGCCTTGGGCCCCAATGGAAGCGGTGTTGATGCTTTTCTGCGATCCACTCGAATTGTTGTTGTTGAGCAGTGGCTGATCACTCTTCGAGTTGGGTAAAATGAATGATGTCTCCCAGCATCCCTCGTTGGTGGCATTGGTGTGCTCGTCCTCTTTCAGCAGCTGCGTGTGCTGTGGTGCCGAGGGTGATGACACGCCGGGCGGTGTACAGATATTGGTTCCAGTCGATATAGCCATGGGGCAGCTAGGATCGATCATGTCGTGTTGTTGTTGCTGAGTGGCTTGTTGCAACTGTTGTTGCTGTTGATGTAGATGTGTGATACCCGGCAGGGGTATCAAGTAATCGGATGTGGTTGGTACCTGCAGGCAAACGTCATCGACACCCTGCGGCCGTATAATGGTTTGATCGCGTTCATTAGAGGGCGGGCGTAAAATGTGGGGCAATGGAGCGTTCATAACAGTGGGATCCTGTTGGCGGGGTGAGGGGAAGGGAAAAACAAATTAATAAATTTGGGAAACATTTAAGTGTTCGAATCATACCTCTGTTACGGCCTTGAGGCGCTCCAGGAGACTAGAAAATGTTGGACGATCTTCTGGTGTGGGATTCCAGCAATCGGCCATGATTTTATAAATGACCGGTGGACAACCGGGTGGTGTGCCCAAACGGCCACCGTTGGTAACCAATTGCATTACCTCAGGATTTGGGAGGCCGGTATAGGGCATTAGGCCCAAGCTAAAGACCTGTGGAAGTAAAAAATAATGAATGAATATTAAAAGGATTTTTCCCAAATTTAAAGCATACTTTTAGGCGCTCCCTAGACTGTTCAATAGAAACGATTTTTACACCTTTTTCAGATATAATTCGAAACATGTTAATTGTAATTTGAGAATTCTAATTGTAATTCGAATCATTTGGGTTGTAATTCGAAAATTCCAATCTTGATTCGAATTATTTAATTCGAAATTCGAGAATTCCAATTGTAATTCGAATTATTCCATTTATATTTCGGATTATTCTAATTGTAATTCGATTTGTTTAATTTGAAAATCGAAGAAAAAATTGAAATAATTTAAACTACAAATAGAACAATTCGAATTACAAATGGAATAATTCGAATTACAAATATAATAATCCGAATTACAAATGTAATAATCCGAATTACAATTGGAAAAATTCTCTCAACTTTAAAAAATATATTAAAGCGCCTAAAACTATGCTATAAAAATACAAACAATTGTTTTGAAAAATTTACATTACATATGACTCTAACACAATGTATAGACTATTCATCGAAGTCAAAAATGTTAGAGAAAGCCCCTCAAACTTACCTCCCACAATAAAACTCCAAACGACCAAACATCCGTTTTGGACGTAAAAATACCATCCAAAAATGCCTCGGGTGGCATCCATTTGATGGGCAGCATAGCCTTGCCACCCTTGCGATAATAATCGCTGCGATAAATATCTCTGGCCATACCGAAATCGGCAATTTTCACTACCCGACCGGGACCTTTACTGCTCAGCAAACAATTACGGGCCGCTATATCGCGATGTATGAAACGTTGACTTTCCATGTAACGGCAACCCTTGGCCACATCCAGGGCGCAAAATACCAAATCTTTCATGGTCAAGGGAGAGGGTCTTTCCGGTTTGTGGCGTCCCTCGCGTAAAAAGTTTTTCAAATCTCCACCAGCCAGCAGCTCCAAAACAATGAAACGTGGATGGCGATCAAAGCAAACACCTATCAGATGGACCATGTTGGGATGATTGAATTTCGCCATAATGGCAGCCTCCATTAAAAAGTCCTCCTCCGCCTGGCGTGTGGACATTTCGGGTAGGGTCTTGACGGCCACTGGCATTTCCACGGCATCGCCATCACGATGACGATACAGGCCTTGATAGACCTCACCGAATGCTCCCTGGCCCAGGGCCCTGTAAAGAGATAAAAACACAATTAATAACATTTGTCCTGAACTCTAGTTCTCTCATAACTTACTTAACCAATCTCAAGCTTTCACGGGCCACCTGAGGTAGACTGTTCACATTTATTTGGCCATTGATGAGATCATCGCAACCATAGTTGGGATTGAAGTTGTTGAGATTGTTCTCATCGATGTTGTGGCGCAGGCGGGTCAATTGCATGTCCTGTTCCCTTAACATTTTGTGGCGTTCCTTGGCCAGTTTTTTGCGTTGATAGCGATTGTCTGGAAAAATGTTAACATAAATATGGGTTCCTAAAATATAAGATTTCAAAATACTTACACAGCATTACAACCAAAGCGGCCAGGGATGCTATTAACAACAGCATCAAAACCGTAAAGAAGGATATCAAATATTTCAGGGGGATGGTATCGGTTGCAGGCACTGAAAGTAAAAAAGAATATTCCAGCATTAATTTCCTTGATCCCTTCCAAACATCCTCTTCCCAACTTACTATCACATGCCGAAGTATTGTCTTTGCGTATTCTCCAACCCTCGGGGCAGATACATTTTACCGAAGAGCGATATTCATCCAGGGCCAAGCAACGATAATCACAACCACATCCCTCAATGGCGGGTATGATGATAATCGAACCAGCCCCGAAATTGGCACCCTCGTAAATCGAACTAAGCTCCTTGAGGGTCCTGGAGGCACTGATATACGAAGAGCCTCCCTCACCATTCGATTCGTTGAGATAAACATCACCACCGGCAAATCCTCCACCACCACCTCCGGTATCACAGCCACCGCCGCCTCCACCAAAGCCACCCTGGCCATAACGTTTGGTTACCGAGCCGTTTGTTTCCATGTCTACATAGCAAGAGAAACCGCCACGTCCACCCAACAACAGGGCGGCACCATATCTGGCATCCAGGGCCTGATCGGCATTAGCTCTCCAGCCGCCACCAGGTCCAGCACTTCCTTCTTTCGACAATTGTTCTCCATGGATTTGCCCAGTCAAGCCGCGTCTTCCTGAGTTCTCTTTTTGGCCATGCTGGAAGGCTTCATCCAAATAACGGCCCACTCCCAAGCCTCCACCACCGCCAGCCACCACCAAGGGCACAGCTTCATTGCGGGCCGAGTTGAGCTAAAACAAAAAATCAATAAATCTCCTATTTCCGTAACATTCCTCCTCTCTACTTACCAAAAATACATAGGATCCACCACCCCCACCTCCGGCACCATTGTTGCCGTTCACAATGGCCGAGGAACTGAAATGGCAATTATCTTCCTTGGCTCCCATGGATTTGGAGCAGGCATTTTCACCCTGCTGGCCCACCAGCAAATAGAGCTCCTCATTTTTATGCAACTCCAAGACGGCCACTGCCACAGCACCTCTCGAGGAGCCGACACCGGTTGAGCCCAAACCACCACTGGCTCCCTTGACAATAAATCTGTAAAGGAATATAGTTTTGTTAAAAGAGAAATTCGACGAATTTTATAGTCAAGTACTTACGTATAGAATCCTTCATGCGGTACCCTCCATTTCTGCATACCCTTGTAGGGTATCTCGTCGGTGACCTTTACCTCCTCCAGAACATTAGTTCTATTGTGACTGGTATAAAAGCTCTCACATTGCGACTGCGTGGGCCCATGCATTCCCCGATTATCGCATGTCCCAAGCTCCAGATCTGGAAAAGAAGTTGAAATGGAAAATTTTTTAAAATAAGTTTTTAAGGTATGAAATTTCAAGGGTCTAAAATTAAGAGGATCTGTTTTTTATAAGGTAACAAATTGCCTCAGAACCAGGAACGATTTTTTTCAAGACGAAAATTTGGCCTCAGAATTTTTTTTTTTTTTTTCATACAAAAAATGGCTCAGGTCCTGAGATAAACCTTTTAAATAGGGAAAAATTTCTTTAGAGCCTGAGGTAGATTTTTTTTCAAAAGAAAAAAATCCTCCAGAACTAAGATCGATTCCTTGAAAAATTTGGCCACAGTACTGTAGGTTTTTGTATTCTAATGGATGGGCTACTGTACTGATTCGACAGAAAAATAGCTCTCAAACAGAACTAAAGACGAATTGTTTTCCGTAGAAAGAACTAAGGTTGGAAGTTTTTCTTTGGAAGTAAAAATTCCCCCGGAATAGGAAGAAAATGTTTTTTTCTATAGAAAAACTCCTCAAGAAATAGAGTCAATTTTTCCAAAAAAAAAGTCCCAAATAACTGAGGACGATTTAAGAATAAACCCCTAGAACTTGGCAGTAATTATTTTCTAACGAAAAACCACAACCACTGGAAACCATTTTTCCATAAGGCAAAACCCCTAGAACAGGGGACATATTTTTCTATAAAATCAAAATCCCCAAAAAGCGAGGATGATTTTTTTTTAGAAAAAAGGCCACACAACCTAAACACAAAATTTTTCTATAGAAAAAAAAATAGCCTCAAGGACTGAAGTCAAAATATTTTTCTGTAGAAAATTTGCTAATTATTTCCTCTTAAATAATATTTTTTTTGTAGAGAGAAGATTTAGATTGTCTCTCTCTCCCCCTCGACTTATAATTCACACTTACAATTATGATTTTCGAAATCTTTATGCGTCGGACTCTTCGTGTGCCGCACATTCCAGTAATTATACCCGTTCAGATGTTCCGGTGGTATATTGATGCCAAAACATTCCGGAGACAATGAAAAGTCGTCAACCGCCACATCCGAATAAATTCTCATGCCCATGCGAGCCTCAAACTGTAGATAATATCTGAAAATCGAAAGAGAACATACAATTTATTACTCTCCATACAACTCTCTTCCTCAAAACACTTCTCTCTCACCTCGATGTGATATTTGGCAAAATGTATTCCGCTCTCATCCAATCCTCTCCCTGATTTTTCGTGCTCCACCACAGTGTGGTGGTTATGTTCTCCTTCTCTTTCATTTCCACCACCGAGAGATTAATGCTGCCGGGATTCTTGCCAAACTGGTGAATATAGAATCTCACCACACAACTATTGCGATAGGGTGAATGGGGATCACCATGCACAGAGGGTGGTGGATTGAAGGTGCGACTGATCATGATGGCATTGCTGGCAAAGCCGATTTGTTGATATTTTTCGCTGTTGTTGCTGTGCTGATTCATGTTGACCAACATGTAATAGCCACCACTGCCATTGGTAAGATGATGATAGGTGTGATCACCTTCCGGTCCGGTGTCCAGGGTGGGTGAGGAACCTGTGTGTCTGGACCACGAGAGAATGGTGCGGCCCGAGTCCCGCCAACCACACCAATCATTTTCGAAATCACAACGGGCACCAAAGGGAATTTTTTCTACAAAACAAAGAGAGATCTCATTAAGATCTATAAAGAGAGAGACAAACTTCGCTCTTTACTCACCACAATTGAGCAGCTCATCCTCGGCATTATCACAATCTCGCGTAATGTCACAAATTCTTGGCAAAGGTATACACACCGATACCTTATTATTCATACACTTCACCTGAGACGTACTGCACTTTTCCGATTTCGTACCCTCGGGGAAACAATTCACCATACGCAAATTATCTATGGCCACATGAGCTTTCTGTCCCTCCAGCAGTTTTGGTACAATTTCAAAAACCAAACGAAAATCTCTTGAAATGCGTCCCAAACGAAACGATTTCTTATCCCATGTACGATAATTATCTCCCACAATTTCTGCCGGAACCCATGAATTCTCCTGCGAATGAAGAGGCATTACCACGACCCTCGATAGACCATGACTCATGCCACTTTGATGCATATATAGCTCGAGTACACATTTTTCCATTGTCGAACTAAATTGTGGCGAAGTCAAATTGATTTGTAACGTAGTTGGAGCCAGTCGAGCATAGAGGAAATGACCATTGGCATCATCGGAGTTATCGGCCAGAGGGCCGGGGTAGAGGCCAGTCATGTTTTTCTTTGACACCTCAGTACCGCTCATAATGTGAAAACCGTCTGGCAAATTGTCGGTCCATTTCCATGCACAGGGTGTTTCGAATGTACAACGGACGCCGAGTAGGTCTTCGATGTCGAAATTTTGCGACGAGGCAGGATGGATCATCTGAAAAGAAAAAGAGGGAGAGAGAATTAACAACAGGAATTAAAGATGTGTTATGGAATATAATGGATTTACAAAATTAACGCGGAAGGGTTTTCTTTGCCTGGTGCCCAATGAAAAATATATTTATTACGTTGGGAATAAGTACGACCATCCAATAATCTGTTTATCCACCGAAAATCTGCTGTCATTTCATCACCAATTTATAAATTAATAATACTTGTTCCAAAGCTTTATCTTCTTCGAAAAGTATATATAAATAAACCCAATCCATTCAGAATGTGACAACCGGAACTCTTTGAATGCAAGGAATACGAATTGTCACCATAAATCTTGTCTTTTTCTCTATAAACTCAACATTGTTTTCCATTTTTAATTTCATTTCAAATATGTATTCCCGCTATGCCCGGTACTTGACTTGACTGTGTGTGTGTGTGTGTGCCACCCACCCGAAAATCCCTGTTAATTCTCCCTCTAAATGTTTTTGCAATGGAGATCTAAAAATATCCGCGAAATAATTAGAAAAAGAAGAAAACCGCACATAAACACACGACACTATTTCCATGGACTGGTGGAAAATAGAGTTTTGTGGCAACAGCTGTATTTGCGAATTAATGCATTTGCTGTTGTTGTTTTTTAGCATTTTCTTTAATTAGTTCATGGCGTGGAATTAAAGAAGTGAGTTGATGACAAAAAACGAAACAGCGAAGTGAATGAAAAACCATAAATCAACGTTGCAACGGCTTGCATTAAATGTTTCAAAATAGTTGAAATGACCTGTTTATTTTCTTAATTTATAGATCTTTGAAGGAAACATCAATAAAATCTCATTTCTATTATACCACTCTACACTACAAATAAACCCGTTGGCAATTGATAGTGTAACACCGTTTCCTATTGATTTGTTGGAAGATGGCGCCCAATCATACATTTATGTCATAGAATCAATCATTTTATTTATTTATTTATTTATTTTTTTTAGTTTTTTTAGATAATTTCCAAAGCATAAGAAGTTCCAAGATGGAAACAAAGTTTTGTGTTTACATAACTTTTTCTTAAAATGGAGCCCAATGGTATACAAATATCCACCTCATGCAATGCTTGCAATATTAAGTATGACTTCTAATTTCAATAATATTTTAATGTGGAAAATGTTACCAGGATGCTACAAATGATGACGAATTCAAAAAATATTTAAAGGATTTTTCTGATGTTGTCGCCCAATCGGTTAAAAATTTTAAGGGCTAGCAATATTATCCCTATAGGATATTACGTCAAATTATGTTATTATTTATAACTACGCTAAGGTTGATTATCAAGATTATTAGAAGAATATGTCTATAATTGGCGCCCAATCACTAAAAGTTTTACTGAGCATATTCTTAGGCAGTGAAAAATACACAAAGACTGCCAAGATTTGGTTAGGTTGAAAAGAGGGGCGAAACGATCGTCACATGTCCTGGTGGACATACACTGTTGACCTGGTAGACTAAGGTTGAGAATAGATATAAAGCTTTTTTGACTGGCTATAGTCATCGGCTGGCTTCTTCCGAAAAGAAGAAAGGAGTATAGGCCAAAAATCGAACTAAGTCAACCTCAGAAAAGCCGACGTCAGAAAAGCGTTTTATATATTCCCATCTTAAGAAGTTAGTGAAAGAAGACTGGCAGTTTACAGTCTATTATATTTGAAATTTAGTAGCCTTAACAAAATTCTATAACTGTTTTATTTCATATACCATGATCTAATTTAGGTCTGGGATGGAGTCGTTCCCTAAGAATTGGGAACTAGATTTGCAAATGCTGGGCATTGGCAGAGAGAGTGCTCCATCCATCTTCCTCACATGCAAATGACAAATTATAATTCCTGAAGGTGAGAATACTTAAGTGAATTTTTTTCTGTCAAAAACCTTCGGTTTGCTTTTTCGTAAAATAACGAAGGTGTATAGGTTGACTTAGTTCAATTTCGGGCTATACTTTAAACTTGCTCACTCTAACATCCTTTATTCGTTTACATAGAAAAACCAACCGAAGACATGCGCCAGAAATAATCCTCTTTTGGTATTCTAAATTTAAGAATGGCGCCCAATCGAAAAATTATTAAAGACACTTTGGGACTATAAGAAACAGTTATCATATTTGCCTTATCCCACATTAGTGGATATCCCAAATGTGTCTATTTTCGAACTACCACTAATGTTTATACCAACCATCTCACATGTTATGTTGGCGCCCAATTGTAAGAGAAATTTGTAAATTATGGGGAATTTAGTTCAAGTAGGTATCCCATCAAAAAAATATTTGGTATACTATATACCAGTGCTACTCATTCCGGATGCTGTTACATTAACTTAAATTGAAAATATATCTTTAATCAGACATCCACCAATAGCTGAGCGAACCAAATTTGACTATCTTCCATGCACTGATGGCTACAAACAATTAACATCCGCAAGGGTTTGATGGGAAAAGGATTGGCTCAATCTTGGCGCCCAATCGAAAAACATTTATGAAACTTTGTTTTCGCTAACAGGAACTGTGAGAATAAAATCCCACTTATTTGTTCGTTAATACATGCAAGTTAATACATGGTGAGATGCAAAAACTGCAACCAACTTCAGACTGCTGTCATTCCTAAACCACTCGTCCGACAGCTGTTAAAATTATTCCTGTGACAGCTCATTATATGGTTTACAAGTATACAAAAGCATTTTAGTGGGAATTTTCCAGAAGTTATTCGTGATGGAATTCAAGCGTGATAGTGTGATTTTTTTATATTTGGCTGGAAAACCTCAAGTGGCTATCGTTAGAGCACTTCAGCATTTAAATGTGAATAAATCTTTTGTGTCTCGTACCATCGCTCGTTACCGTGATACTGGTAGCGTAGCCCAACGTCAAGGAAGTACACGGAGGAAAACAGCAACATCAGCAGAAATGGTTCGAAAAGTAAAGAAGCGACTTGATCGAAACCCTCGTCGCAAATATTGAAAAGTGAGCTAGGGGTAGAGTCATTGTAATTCCAAAACGTGCAAGAACTTACACCGCTTCGCTTGGCCGAAAGTGGTGAACTGCCAAAATTGGTTTTCCCCCGATTAGAAAACATTCGTTGTCCAGCAGTTTGTAAACAAACAAAATGATAGTGTTTAATTGCCAAAGAGGTCAGCTGAAAATGTGGACCTTATGTTGGCCACCAAGCGTCGTTCATGGTCATGGACGACGGGCGGCCCATAAAAGCCGCTCGTATTAATCGACCGTGGCATCAAAATAAATGCCGAATATTGTCGTGAAAATATTCTGGAGGGTGTAACCTTGGGCACGCAAACAGGTTGGCCGCAGACCTTGGACATTCCAACAGGACTCAGCATCATCGCACTCAACACGCGCCACCCAAGAATGGTTACAAAATGAAGTACCCCGCTTCACTTCCAGCACACAATGACCACCAAAATCTCCGGATACTAATCCGTTGGACTATTGTGTCTAGAGTATTCTGGTAAGCATGGTTGGCACTAAAAAATACCAAAGTGTCGATCACCTCAAGCAAGCGCTTCGCCGGGAATGAGCCAAAATACCGCAGAGCAACATTCGGGCAGCTTGTGACGGTTTCATTGGCAGTTTAAATGCCATAATTCGTGCCAAAGGCGACCAATTCGAACAAATCTAAACTTCTTCTAAAATTTGATGCTATTTCCGATATCTGTTGCTTTCATTCATTTCCATTTTTATCTCACGCTGTATATCACCTAAAACTTAGACCTGAGGATATCCAGGTTTCCCATTTCAAAACATGCTGGTTCGCACACTTACCGGTTGCGGCTGGGAATTCATCAATTGCTCTTTAATTGCCTGCAGAGGATCCGGATGTTCTTCCATGATAATGTCATCATCAATGCCGCGCATGGGTTGATCAGCTTGATTTTTATTCATTCGACGGATTTCATTGATGGAATTTACTTTGGTCGAAAAACGTGTAAACTTGCCATCCATTGAGTCGGGAACATAAAAAGCTGCAACAGTAAAATATAGATTAGAAACCACAATTCACATACGCCCACTCGCAAGACTTACCTTGTGGTGGCATACTGGTAGAGAATAAAACTCCAGCCTGATGTAGATTATCACCATAACGTTGGGCTGGTCCAACTCGACCCAAACCATCAATTTTGCCAATAGACGACGTCGCCGCATACGAGGGATAACCAGGACTGTTGCCACTTATGCCACCTCCAGGACCTCCCACCGATGGCTTCATTAGTTCTTTGCGCAGAGATTCCATGCCACGACCACTGCTGCTACCACGATGCATATTGGCCAATGCCTGATAACTGAGGCGACGGCGATTATCACGTCGACCACCCAGAGGGGGTACTAACGTGCCTTCCAAGTCTTCATAGATTGGTACTCCGCCACCCAGGATGCCTCGGGGTATAGAGGCCACCGTAGTGGGTGGTATAATAAAATCATGGGTTCGTCCATTGCGCAGCTTATAGTTATGTTGTCCCGTCGGTATTGTATTATAGGTTGTGTGATTCGACAATGGCCGTTGGGCTTCGATTTCCCGCACCGGCACTGAACTCAGGGTGAGCGTTACAAAACACAATGTGGCAACGCCGAATTGTTGGCGCACCATGGCCGCCGTTGAATGGGGTAATGAGCGCGGCATTTTTTTCAGAGAGAAATAATGTCTTCTCGCTCCTCTCTCTCTCTATTTCTGTTAGTAAATTACCGAGTTGAGCAGTTTTAGGGCTTTGTAGATCGATTTCTAGAGTTGAGCAGTTATACGTTGTCTTGTAAAGAGGGAATGGGCGGGATATATGTTATTCTTAAGCTTTGTGTGCGTATTTGGAAATTTTGTTCCTCTTGAGATTTCCTTTTGTTTTATAGTTTTCTCTTTAGTTTTTGTTTTTTCTAAGACAAAGTCCAGGGTTTGTTTAGAGATTTTAGATGAGATTTTTAAACAATTTTTTGTTTTGTTTTCGAATTAAAGATACGTTTTTGTTTCTTTGTGTGTATCAGCCTCGGCTCAGGGCAACTTTAACTTTTGTATTTATTGCAACACTTTGGCAATGCTTTGTAGATTTTAAAGCACACTTTAATGCGGGGTATGGACCCGTGACACCACATTTTTGTTGATTTCCACTTCAATACGGTGTTGGTATTTAAGGATATTCCATGTGTTTACTTAATATCGGAGAAAAAATCAATCTGTAACAGAAGAAGTGTTAAAGAAAAGTTAGTCAATGAAGTAAGAAGCTAGGAAGAAAAGAATGGCGAAGAATTTTTGTAAAAACATATTTTTAAATTTCCAAGTTGAAGGGTGTTGTGTAGGGTTGCTCAGGCAGCTGCTTTCATTATTGCAGGTGCAGCGCTCAAAAATATAAGGGAATACTAAAATAGTTTTATTTATATTTTTTAGTCCTTAAAAACAATCTTCGGCGAATAATAAAATGTTAACGCTCTACACGTATAAATCCAATGAATTAGAACTGTCAGTTCCATTGCGTAAACGTAATAAACCCCTAGGTTTCGGATTTGCAGTAGACACCATGGTATTGACTATCGAAATCCACTGAACTTATTACATGTAAACATCCTATTACTTAACAGATGATCAATATTATGCAAGTTTACACTCAACTGCATGCCGTTAATTACACTGTGCGACAAAATTATTATTGTTTTTAATAATTACGTGAAAACTCTATCAGATTATGAAAGTAGAGCTAAAAAAGATGACACGTGTTGTCGGTGATTTGAAAGTTTACACCAAAAATTAACCAATTTCTCCCCTCTTCCACACTTTTGGAAAATTTCGTATAAAGATTCTTCGAAATCCGAGCATTTTAGGTATATACAAAACTTGACAAGGATTACAACAGGATTTTTAATAGGCTTAATTTGAAATGGCAAAGTGCTATGGACTCAAAATGGGGTTTCAATCTAAAGATGAAACACTGGCTATTCAAAAGCGTAATTAGACCTGTTCTACCATACGCATCTGTAGTCTGGTGGATAGCAATGGATAAAAAATGTAATACCAAAATATTACAGAAAGTCCAGCGAATGTGAGGCTTAAGCTTTTGCGGTACAATGAGGACATAGATAGTCAGATACGCGACGATGCAGTCATAGCGACGGACGAGGGGACAAGTAAAGGCCACGTTACATACCATCAAAAATTTTACAGGTGACAACGGGAGACTCAATGGAAAGCTTTGTATCGGACCGGATACCTGAAACAATTGTAGCTGCCTCAGGTGAAACATTAATTCCTACCAGAGACTTGTGGATCCCTATCGCAAATGCTGATTGGAAACTGTTGTTATACAGATGGCTCAGTGCTAAGGGGATAGCGGGACTGGGACTTTTATTGAAGAACCAAACACCATTCAAGCGGAAGTCCGGGCGATTACAGAGTGTCTGAACTGGCCTAACGCTAACATGAGACCGGCTTCCGTAAAAGTCCAAACGAACAATCAACAATCTCCGCCAATGTCCAGCATTTGAAAATATTAGATCACAATATTTAGGAAACGACTCCATACCAGACCTAAAACTGTTAAGAAATGTTTTTTAGGCAACTGAATTTCAAATATAATAGACTGTGAATTGCCTGTCTTCTTTCAACAATATTTTTAATCTATGGCGCATAACAGGCCTATCCTGGCTTAAGCGTATGTCCACCAGGACATGTTTCGATTATTTCTGCCCTCTATGTCTATCAGAACGACAAATTGATGTTATATGTGAAAAAAACATCCGAGAGAGACTTCAGGAATTTGCTGTTACACCGAGGTAAGAGAACAGAACCGTGACTTCTATTCGAAGAGGCTGCGAACGAATACTTTGGTCAAAGGTCAGACCATCTTCCTTTTATCTTTACACGTAAAGTTTACTGAATTCAAGTTGCCATATTTTTTGTTGATAATTTGGCAAATAAAATGGCAATGGACTGTTATACATTTTCGCTTCAGACTCTGTTTTGCATTTTATTTGCACATAACAAATAAAAGTTTTTATTGGAGAATTCAATCATACACGCTATGATTATAATTACATTTTAAAGTTCAAGGGACTAAATATGCCGAAGCATTTGTATCTTTTAAATTCGGACTTGTATTGTCCATTTGGTGCACAATTAATTTGAAATCAGATAAAGTTATATATGAGAACTATGTCCAAATTTGAACTGATCTCGATAAAATTTGGCAAATATATTTCTGAGCTGTTTTTGGTATATTTCTCTGAATATCGTTGTTACGGAGTGCACATTACGTCTGTGGGTAACAAATATAACAAATCGGGTGAACAATATATATGGCAGCTATAGCTATATCTGAGCCGATTTTCACCAAATTTGACATACTAGCTTCTGACTCAATTCGGTCATAATTGCCAAATTACATCCCATTCGGAAAAATATTAGAGGTTTGGTGCACAATAAAAAGCAAATCGAACGAAGATATATGGGAGCTATATCCAAATCTAACCCGATCTCGATAAAATTTGGCATACTTATTTGCAGACCTAATTTGGTTGCATGTGCAAAATTCCATACTATTCGGGCTGTTATTACACGTTTGGTGCACAATAAAAGGCAAATCGGACGAAGATATATATGGGAGCTATATCTAAATTTTTACCGATTACCTCCAATCGGGCAATAAATGCGAACTGTACTTCGTTTACAAAAATACATGGACAGACGGACGGACGGGCATAAATCGACTCAGAATGTGATTCTATGCAGATCATCAAAAGAAACTATGGGTCTATCTCGTTTCCATTTGCCTTTTACAAACAAATGCACAAAGACATAATACCCTGACCACTTTGTGGTGTAGGGTATAATAAAGATGCCACTGTGAAAAAATGCAGTGACTGCCAATGTCACTGCTGGGGACAATGAACTGTCAAAACAATTTTGGAATTGAAAATTTTGAGTGAAAATTGTTGAAAAATGACAACCTCCCATTGGTGTGGTATAAGAAAATGTATAAAAATCTACTTATTTTTGAAAAAAAAAAAAAAAAAACATTTTAAAATTTTTGACGTTTCAATATTCCCAAGCGTTGATGCATCTACCTGTGTTCTTCTACTATGAGTTAGATTTCCAAAAAGTAATCATTTTATTGCCACATCTCAGAAAAAAAAATGAATTTATTTTAAAGGAAAGATGTAATAAAGATTTCCTAAAGTAAGGTTTAACAAAACTGGACTAAAGAAAAAATAAATAAGAACGTGCCAAAGTCATTTTTGACATTTTTAACAATATAGAAAAAATAAAGTCTGTTGTTTTAGAAAAATAGAGAAAAAATAAAAGCTGTTGTTTTCTCAAGATTACCGAGGGAGAGAGGGAGAGAGAGAGAGAAATCGAATGCATATACCTAGCCTTTGCTTAAACTTTTGACGAAAAACGCGATTAATTTGCAGCATTTTCAGTTATGGCACGATTTAGCTACCAAGAAATTACGGTAAAATTAAGAAGGTAAAGTCACTTCAGATATGTATAGCCATCTCTGTATTTCATGTAATTCCCTTGCCAAATTTCACTACATGGAATACAGACTCCCATCTCTGGTTTGTGTCTATACTATCAATCTATGAATATAAATGTCGACAATGAGATGTTGTCAAATGCATAATTTTGAAAAATGATGGCATGAGTATACCTTTTTTAATTCTACCATGCAAGATTTGTACAACAGAGTATTTTCTCTGGATTTTATAATTATAAAATATTTTATTAATTTAGTATTTTCCATCATCTGACCTTCTTGCTCTCCTGCTTCAAAATAAAAAATCTTTTTCTATATGTTCGCCGCAATATATTATTAAAGAGTCAACTGTTTTTCCTTATTCTCATCTTCTTCCGATGGCCATGAGCAGCAGCGCGAACAACACAATGTGAATATGGCATGAAAGCCTACCGCAATTGCATGACTATTGCATTAGCTAATAGTAATAACGACGGTAAGGAGGACAAGAAGACGACGAAGCCGCAGCAGCAGCCGAAGGGAAATAAGGATATTTGCCAGCCTGCCAACCAACAAACCATCCAGCCATATGGCTGAGACAACAATGACATTATGACCTTCCTCCCCTCTAATATCAAACCGTACTTCACATTTCCTGCCTGACATATTCGCATATATGAATTTATATCGTATATTATATGTATGTAGTTATGTACGCCACATTGTGGCTAATTAACTGCTTGCAGTCGTAATATGTCCTGTACGATTTTTGTTTTTCGTTGAAGGATAACATTTTTTTTTTGTTACAAACCAGAGAGAAGATGAACTAACAACATTATTGAGTGAGACAATAATGGAATCTAAGTTCCAACATTGTTTGAATTTGAGAGGATAATATTTTAGCCTTCCTTTAGACATTTTAAATGAGAAATTTATTATTCAGCGGCCAACGGTTTTTATTTCCCACCCTAAAAAATACTGAAATTCTAATGACATGAACAGGTAATTAAATATTTACAGTTAAGGTGAAGGCGAAATGTTTCGTATTAAGGACATTCTATAATAAAAATCCTTTTGTAAGAGTTTGTGTGTGGCCGAATGTTAAATTGTTATGTATTCTATTTTCAACTGCCATAAGATATATGAGATAATTGTTTAATGCGGTTGTGTATGTTTTGTAAGAAGAGTGCAGATTGCACGGAAAAGGGATAATGTAGTAGATTAGGGTATCCAAGCAGGAAATGTTAGGGGTAAACCATTTTTAGATTTTTTATGGTTGGATTAAGTTTTAGGTTGATGCTTCCCTTGTTACAAAATATGAAATATTTTAAGAGAATTTTAAAAGACTGCCACCAAATTAAAGGGGATTTTATTTTCATTGAGAACATAATAAAGAATGCCGGGCTTCAATGCAACATCTAACGCATCCTCTTCGATCAAAAGAACTAATGTTTGTAATAAAAAAATTAAATAACATAATTTTTAAGTTTTTGGCGGGTTAACCTGCTTCATGAGGATGTATTTGACGTATATGCAATGTTATTGATAATTTAATCCACTAGTTTCGCTAAATCCGGTAAACATGCTGCAGCATATGTATATGCATGAACTATTAACGCTATCTTCGGATTGTTACAGCATTGACTTACTGCTGTTATCTCAATGAAGTTTTGGGTATTATTTAATGGACATATTGGTTATCCGTGAAAATAATGTCTGATTACAAAA